TTGTCATTACCTTCACTCCAACGAGACACAGGACAGCTAGTAGCATCTGGGGCTTGGTACGTAGGCTGGATTCCCACACGTTGATCGGTGCCGACGGCAGGACAGCCAGGGCCGAACTTCAATTTCAGATTGCACAGTTCGATTTTCAGCCGATGATGGTGGGAGCACTGCTCTTGCATGTCGATGTCACATTGTGGCGTGGTTGCAGGTCACGATCCTTGGGTCTTGCTCACCAGAGGCGGCAAAGCTAGAGGCCTCAACGATGATCAATTTCTTTCGTGTTGCCTGTCGCTGTGTGCGTTTCCTGGCCAGCAGCAGCAGGTACTGCGATCGGAAATGTTGGAGCTTGAGGGTATGGAGGCCACAAAGAAGCAGGACGCCAGCAGTAGTGTCGATGGTCACATTCGTCAACAAATTCTCGCCATCATGCGCCATCAATCCGGCGAGGAAGCGTTGGCTGAAACTCTCGACAAGCTCAAGGCGACTCAGATGTTTTCAGTTGTTCGGTCGTTCCTCTATTTGCATGCTCGAAGTGCATTCCTGATGCATATCTGTTCAGAGTGCAGATTCTGGCTTATGGGGTTCTTCGAGTTTGGCTACCAATATGCTAAGAAGGACCTCATTAAGAACTGAGGCTGCAGGGCTGTCCAACTCTACACACGACAAAGCAGGGCAACAAGTGGCTTTCCCATGGCCCACACCAAAGACATTGCTGTTTTCGGAGGGCCCTTCTGTGTGCTTGATGGAGTAATGACCTGTGAGTTCGCGTTCTTGTCTATGTTTTGCTGCGGCGCAAGATTGGTTTGTCACTCTGCGATCCTTTGCTGAAAAGGGACTTATTTTGCTGGTGAGCTGTCGAGCGCATAAAGGGCTTGACATGGCTTGACTGTGTGGCGAAAGTCGGTGATTGACCGTTGCCGTTGCCCGACAACTTTGAGCCATGCTTTAGGCTTAAGAGGCTAACAAATAACTCGCATCGCCGAATCCAATGACATGTATGATCATGTATACACGTTCTTGTATTTCTAGGTGTTGTAGATTAATTAGTTAGTTGCTTTCGACATTATTGAAAAATCTTTATTTTCAAGTTTCCCGGTTTCTTGCAACACTTATGTGTAAGAGTTTCCTTCCCGGACTCTGTCCTGATCGCGTCTCTGTGACACGGGCGCACAGCCTGGAGCCCCGCGGCATTGGATTGCAGCTCCGCCAAACGGTTCACTGGTCTGCTTGTTCCCGACGCCTTTTGCTGGAGAAGGGGCCAACCTTAAGGCCCGACCTCTCAACCCCTCCTGTCCACAGACAGTTGTTCAATATGCATACATAATTCACAAAACCATAGATGCCTGTGCGTATGTTCTTTACAGGAATTTGTAAATATCCACATGATGTATATATATATATATATATAGACATACATGATCATACATGCACATGCGTATATGCATATTTACACGTACACAGATGACGCACCAATATTCCTACACACTGACATACATTCGAATGTTTGAGATTACTCTACATCGTTCTTTACAACATGTTGGATATCCCCAGGTTTGTGAAAAACCTGTTGTAAGAACTTTCGCGCAAACACTGCGTCGGCACAAGGAGCGTACCGTAACAACTGCCAGAGAATCAGCGAGTGACCCTGGGTAGCTCCCTGCACCCATAGGTATGTCCGCCGCTTTCGGGCTTAAGCGCCGGACTAAGCGGCAAAGAGCTGTGGAATGCACTTCTGCACACAGCGCCTACAAGCCCTAATGCACAGGTTGACTGCTTCATGCATCCCGGCTCATCATAAAGTTCCGTGTGACAGATCATCATGGATAAACTTCCTCCATTCGGGGGCAGCCTGTCGGCTCTGACATGTCCATTGCCCTCAGACGGCGCAAAGTAAACAGTCACCGCTAGCAAGAACGCATAGGTGCAAGGGCTGAGCGCGATCTAGGCTAACATACTTGAAGCTGTACGGCGTGGAGATTTCTTTTAAACCTTGCAACGCCAGTGAATGTAAGACGATTTGCTGGGGAGGAGTTTACCGTATTGTGATTAAGGAGTATTGCATCTTTCGTACTCTTTTTGGAGCAACCCTTCTTTTGACCTTTCGGTGAGGAGGCTTTCGGTGACGGCGTATACACAAGTTGGGTATGACTCAGTATCTGAGATCCTAAGCTTTCGCTAAAGATTGTTTCTCTGGTTTTGTGTGCATCCGTGTATATAGTTGAGATGTTCCCTGTTCTCGGGATCAAAAGGTTCATGTCTTCCTAAAAGGTTGAACGCTGTTGCATATGTTTCCTCTCATATGTTCAGCCCTTGGGCAATTAGTACTCGTCTCAAATATCACCTGCCGTAGTGGGTCTTCTACGTTGGTTCGTAATGTATGTCCTAGCAGTTTGCACTTCTGGAGCCTCCAGTTATCTGAGAACTTTACCACTTGGACATTGTGAGACGTCTGTAGCATTTGAACTTCTACACTATTTGAGTAAGATCTGTCAACAAATGTAGGGGGAATGTGTAATATTCTTCTGCTGCCCTTCATCTGAAAAGCATCTATTCTCTTTAGTTCGTTCTGCGTTAATTGAATAGCACCTAGACCATACAATAGTTTACTTCTTTGCATCGAATGGGAGACTTGTATTTTCCATTTGATTGTGTTTTCTGCGCGGTTCCAAAAAAGGTTGAGTTCATTGCAGGTTCTTGTTGCTTCTGCAAGCCTGTTGTTGATTTATTTGTTAATAGCGTACCCAAGTAAGTTGCAACATTTTTCCTGGGGACCAGGGTGCCATCAATGTTTTTAATATTGGACTGACTGTCTGCGATATGTATATAGTTAGACTGACACATTTCTCAAGATGGAGTTGCGTGTCATGATATTTTGATTCCTTGTGCGTTTCATGTAGTAGCATGTTAATATGTTTGGTACAGTTACCGGAAAAAGTGTGTCATCTGCATATAGTAGCTCGGTGTACTTCACACCTTGTATAGGCTCTCGTTGTTTTGGCGATCAAAGAGTCTATCTTTAATGTCTGTAAACATGGCTTTCATAGGAATTCTAAATAGATAAGATGAGAGCGGACATCCTTGTCTTATACCGGTGTATTGCTGCTTGTGTTGGGAAGAACGCTCGTTTGTTTTGACTCTAAATCTTGGTTCCTCGTAGAGGTGCTCAATCAACTTGTCCTTCTTATGTGGGACTCGTAGTCTACGTAATACTTTCAATAGTTTGTCTGGTCTACTTTATTGAATGCTTTTTCCCAGCCGAGTAATGCTAGTGTCAGATTTGTTCCCGTTCGTTCTCCAATGTCAAGCAAGCGCCTTGCAACAAAAATAGCTTGAGCTGTTGATCTCTTGGGCCTAAATCCATACAGAGAAGCCACGGGTCGTATGTAGCAACCGACCTATTTCGTAAAAGTGCTGCTAGCAGTTTGTATCAAACTTGCAATAGAGCGATGGGCCTGTAATTCATCATGTTTGTTGCCTCTCCTTTCTCATAGAGTGATACGATGTTAGCAAGTGTAAGTGTTTCCGGAAATTCGTCTGCTTCAAAAGTCTCATTGAAGATCTTGAGACGACATTTTCGGTTTCTTTCATCCAACCATTTGACAAGCTTTGCTGTGCATCCATCTGGTCCCGGTGATTTGCTGTTTTTCTGCGTTGAAATAACAATGTTTAACTCTTCCAATTAACAATTTCGTTTGACATGTTTGGATTTGACGGGCCGATATATTTCTCTTCATATGACATATCTTGGGAGTTGTCCACCGGCGGAGCCCATTGAGTTTCCTGTAGATATTTCGCTCCGATTCCTTGATTAATGTACCCTCATTATTTCTGAATTTGGTCCGACGTGGTTGGAAAGTTTTCTTGCGTTCTTTAATCCGTGCCATTTATATCCTGTTTTGTCAACTTCCTCTGGCTCATCTAATTGTTGTCGCTCTTTGTCTTGTCTGCCAGCTTTTTTAGATCTGTTTTGAAAGGCGTGATACTTCTTGAATATTTCCTTGATCGATAGTATCTTGTTTCTGCAAAATGAGGTTCCACGTGTCCTGAGATGTAATCTTTACGCTGGGTTGTCGTATTATGCTTAAAACATGCTCTTGCTGCTTTTCGGAAGCACTCAGTGAATATCGCGCATGTATCTGTGGTCTGTTGCGTTCTGTTGCAAAAGGCCTGTGCCGTGAGACGCTGAATCTCGTCATTGTAGCGTGTTTTTTTTGTTGGTCTTTTAGGCACACGGTACATTGTGAAACTATGGGATCTTGTGCTTGGGGCCTGTTTGATGGTAGAAACTCGTGGTTTCAGGTATTCGATGTGTCGCCAGTGTTTGATGGGTTTGTCAAGCCAAGCGTTCATGGTATAAGGTTTTCTTCTGTGCAAAAGTCGCTGTCTACGATCAAGTTGTTTTCGAGATAGGTCCTGAATGCTATTGATTGGCGTTCTATATATGAAGTGTCCTATTGTGTGATTTTCTTGCGGTAGTTGTTCTAATAGCCTGGTGTTGACCTCATGTCTTTCTCTTTTGTGCAATACGTTAGTAAGTTCACCATAAAATTTATCTTTAATGTTTGTTTCGCGTGCTGCATGTGGGGCGTACGCATTATATATGATAGTACTGATAGGGTCAGTGTTTATACGCATTGTCCACTTGTTCCTTTGCGAAAGACGATATTTTGTACACTATACCTGAGCCGAGCTTTTCTGTCGAAGTGTTGATAATTTGCGTGCATTTACTTTTTGCTTCTTCTTCATCGATCTACTTGCGTTTACGTTGATCATTTAAGACCTCAAATTTCTGTGTAGCGCATCTTCTGTGTTCATCTGCTATGTTGCTTGCAAAATAGAACATGTATCCGTTGTGTGATTCTTTTCCAGTGTAATTTGCATGAGTTTCTTGTAACATTGCAATGCCCAATAATGTCCATATCATGTTTTTCATTAAGTATGCAAATTCCTGTCTGGCAGTGATGTAGTTCATACCTTTAACGTTGAACGCGGTAACTCTAATGGTCATGTCGTGCTTCAATGTTTCTCTCTGCGAAGTTTCTGTTCTCATGTATTGTTTCCACATCTGTTTCCTCTGGTACTGAAAACTGCCAGAGACATTTTAGCGGAAAGTGCTGTTGCACACAGATGCCAAAGTATCGCACGCGGTCTGCTTGATGTCGGGAAAACAAGCTTGCATAGCCACCCCCCGAGAAAAGGCATGAGAAATGACAGGTGCCGGAAAGATCTCTGTACATAGACTGTGAAAGTTTATTTCGGCCCATGCCTGCCCCCCTCGCGCGCTGGCATTGCAACCCGCCTTGGCGGCCGCCGCCGACGCCTGCCCCTTGGACCTGTGCGTCGCCTTCCTCGACGATGTGGTGCTGGCTGCAACACTGCGCAGGTCCTCCACGCCCTCGAGGTTTTGGTGTCTGTAGCGGCCGAAGCAGGCTTGGTCCTGGAACCGACGAAGCGCTCGTCTCGGCCCGACCTTACGGGCTTGCCACCTGGCTTCCTTCGGCGAGATGGTGCCTTCGAACTTTTGGGTGCTGCCATCGGTGATGTCCCTTACTGCTGCGCACACACCTTAAACACGCGAGTGCACAAGGCGGCAGGCTGCCTTGAGGCCCTCACTTGCCTGGCGGACCCACAGACATCCCTGCTGCTCCTGCGACACTGCGCGGCCTATGCCACCATCTCTTATGCCATGCGGGTCACGCCGCCGGGACTGCACCTGGAAGCTTTGGTGGCCTTTGACTCAGCGGTCCGTGCCTGCTTTGAACAGATTGCAGGCATGGCCCTCACCCCACACGCCTGGCGGCAGGCCGCGCTATCCGCCGTGGCGGGCTTGGTCTTCGACTGGCCGAGCTCCATGCGCCGGCTGCGTGCTTGGGTTCCGCCACCTGCTGTGCCCAGACCTGTGAGGGATTGGACCGCAATTATGTGCCAGATTTGACATATGCCCGGCAGCTCTTCAACGCTGCGGTTACCCCTGCTGCTGTGCTTGCGGCCGAACCTGGACCCCTAAAGCAGCGCGAGCTTTCCTCGGGCGGCCTTGGACGACGCCGAGACGGAAATCCTCCAGCACCAGTGAGGCAGCCCGCGCTCACATCCGCTTGGTTTAGGAGCTAGCTGCCGGCGCTTGGCTTCTGGCTCGGCCAGCTGAAGCCTTCAGCTGAACCCTGGCACCGCACTTCTTCCGAGTGCTGCTCCGACTTCGGCTCCGTGTTTCCTGTTGCATCCAGTGAAGGCTTCTGCAGCCAGCGCTGGTCTTTCCCGCGAAGTGGAGAAGTCAGACTTGCTGCCCGCCCGACCGGATGAGCATGGGGCGTGTGAAGCCGGTGGCCCTGATAACATCTTTTTTTTCGTGACGAGATCATGTGAGGAAGAGTGCGCCGGCACCGGAGCGGGGGTGTGCTGCCCCGCGGCTCCTGGGCCGGGTCTCGGCTCATCCTTCCAGACGGTGAGGGGGGTCGGGGTTCCCTGCCCCGCGGATCCTGGCGCGATACTGGGCTGACTGTGTATCTGTGTAGGTTGTCAACGGGCAGTGCGCACTCTTTTGCACCAGCTCCTGTTGTGTGGGCATTGGTCGGCGGGCCGGCGGGCCGCGCCACGCGTGTCAAGGCTGTGGGTTTTTCTCCCAGACGCGGTTTTACCCACAGCTCTTGTGTAGTCGTCGGGTCCTGCGCCGCTTCACAAGCAGGCAGGCAGGACCCTGGTGTTTGGAAATTCATGAGATTGGCAGGCGACTCGATAGCGCGCTCCAGGAACGACAAAACTGCAAAAGCCCGAGGTCTGCGCAGGCAAGTGCACTAGAAGAAGCAACACGGAAAAAACCGACCTTGTCGCACATCCCCCCTCCCGGAGCAAGCCCAAATCTCTTAGCCTCTCCAACCCATCACCCACCCAAAAAAGATGCAGCGCAAGCCCAGATCCCTAAACCTCTTTAAATCCGTGCGCCCCCAAAACATAACAATTCAAACCCAGTTCTCTTAACCTCTCTAAACCCGTCACCCACCCAAAAAAAGAATTCGCTGAGTACAACCGTTTAGGATTGAGGGTTTATAGGGGTTTGGGACTTGAGAGTAAACCCGCTCAGCCAAATGCCCGAAAACACCGACCAGCCGAAAAGACACAAACCGCAATTGGCTGCCGCCGCCGTCGTAGTAGTAGTAGTAGTAGTAGTAGTAGTAGTAGTAGTAGTAGTAGTAGTAGTAGTAGTAGTAGTAGTAGTAGTAGTAGTAGTGGTAGTAGTAGTGGTAGTTTTAGTAGTAGTAGTAGTAGTAGTAGTAGTAGTAGTAGTAGTAGTAGTAGTAGTAGTAGTAGCAGTAGCAGTAGCAGTAGCAGTCGCAGTCGCAGTCGCAGTAGCAGTACAGTAGCAAGTAGCAGTAGCAGTAGCAGTAGCAGTGGCAGTAGCAGTAGCAGTAGCAGTAGCAGTAGAAGTAGTAGTAGTAGTAGTAGTAGTAGTAGTAGTAGTAGTAGTAGTAGTAGTAGTAGTAGTAGTAGTAGTAGTAGTAGTAGTAGTAGTAGTAGTAGTAGTAGTAGTAGTAGTAGTAGTAGTAGTAGTAGTAGTAGTAGTAGTAGTAGTAGTAGTAGTAGTAGTAGTAGTAGCAGCAGCAGCCGCAGCAGGAGGAGTAGTAGTAGTAGTAGTAGTAGTAGTAGTAGTAGTAGTAGTAGTAGTAGTAGCAGTAGTAGTAGTAGTAGTAGGACGACGACGACTACTACTACCACTACTACTGCCACCACTACTACTACTATATACTACTACTACTACTACTATTATTATTATTAATACTAATACTAATACTAATACTAATACTAATACTAATACTAATACTAATAACTACTACTTCTTCTACTACTACTACTACTACTACTACTAATACTAATACCAATAACTACTACTTCTTCTACTACTACTACTACGACGACGACTACTACTACTACTACTACTACTACTACTACTACTACTACTACTACTACTACGACTACTACTACGACTACTACTACGACTACTACTACGACTTCTACGACTACTACTACGACTACTATGACTACGACGACGACTACTACTACTACCACTACTATTGCTACTACAACGACTACGACTACGACTGCTACTACTGCTACCACTACGACTACTACTGCTACTACTACTTCTGCTACTACTACTACTTATACTACTACCACTACTATTATTACTACTACTACTACTACTACTACTACTAGTACTACTAGTACTACTACTACCACTACTACTACCACTATTACCACTACTACTACCAGAACTTGCACTGGTATTGTGTACCCTCTGCATGACATACACTGTTGAGAACATTGGGCATCTTGTCCATGCCAGCAACACATCAAGCGCAACGTGTTGTGCAGGGCAAGAAGAAAAGCACCATGCAAGCGTGCTTCTTACTGCATGTTTGAAAACCTGGTGTGTGTGTGTGAGGTTCTTGCGAGTGTTATTCCTATGTCAAGGTCAAGGTGAAACCTAGCTCGTGGTGCATGCTTTCAAGGTCATTCTCCCGACCTTCAAGCGAGAAGAGTTGGAAAGAAACATCAGCGGGGTAAAGGTCTCCAGCCTGAGTCATTGAGAAACGACAGCCGTTGCGAGCCACTTGGAGATCCAACTGTAGGTGCCTACGACCAGAACGGATCAACAAGCGACGAACTACATTCTGAATCAGACCGCCGGCAAGCTGCCACTGAAGGACCTCGTTCGGCATAAGTCGATAGACCCCTATCAGAAGGTCATGAGCCATTATGGCCACCCTGCTCGAGGTGGTTCTTCTTGAGTTTTCAGCCAAAAGGTACGGTGAATCCAGGGACAAACACAATGCATATGCTGGCATGAGTGACAGCCCGAAATTCGCGAGCATCGGTTGCATCAATCAATGTGGAACATAGAGGGTCAGGTGTTTGGAGTGCAAGAGGTGCTAATTCTTCTGTTGCGAGAGCATCCGTAGCCATGGCTTTCTATGGTGCTCTCACAAAAGCCCCGCCTGCAAAACATGTGCTTGCCGAAGCATTTCTCAGCCCAGCGGTTTCATGTTGGTTTCTGCAAGGGCGGCACAACCGGCCATGTTCGGCTTCCTTCCCAGCCCTTCGTGACGTAAATTGACTTAGGTTGCACCACCTGCCCGCTAAGCAAGGTTTGGCCGAAAGGCTATCTCATCCTTGCTGAAAAAGGTCCGCGGCTATATGTTCTTGTTTAGAGCATGTCTTTTTTCAAGGTAGATTCCCAGGTTTGCTGTGCCTTCAGCCTTATTGAGCCCGATAGGTTTTGAAGGCTTTCGGCTCAGCACCTTCAGGTTATAGTTTTGGATCTGAGTGCAGGACTTGGTCGCCTTCATCCGTGAACAGCGGCAGGCCTGGCCTGCCACAAGCAATGTGGACTCCTCCACTCTTGTGAATGTGTTCAGGCATTCCATGGCATTCCCATGCTGAAGTTATTGCTGTTGCAAAGTTTGAAGTGTGTGCTCGCAAAGTGCCAAGCGCATGTCCGTGTCAGGCGGCAGATCAACGACGGCGCCTGGTGGCCGACAACTTCAACAACCAGCCAGAGGAAGAGGAGGCTCTTTGCATCTCGTTCTCAAGCGGCGTCGACTCCCTGACTCTTTCAGAAGCAGATCGAAGGTGGAAGAGGACAAGCAAGCTACTGAGCTGCGGTTCGAGCTCCAATACAGGGAGGCCACTCGCAAGATCTCGCAAGCAAGCTTCTGTAATCTTTTTGAAATAGCAAGTGGCAAGCACTCCCAACCCTGAGCCAGGTCGACAAGCGAGACAAAGACAAAGAACTAAAGAGTCAGCTCTCCGAGCTTCTGAGATGTCTGCGCATAATGGCAAGGTTTAGCCAGTGAGAGGACGAGATGAACATGCACAAGCAAGTCCGCCAACTTAGGCACGCGAGCGACTGGAGAAGAGCCTCCAGCTTCAACGGATGTTTCCGAAATATGCGCTGCACGCAAAGCAAGGTGCTCTTGCAACAGTGCCTCGTTGAATGCACGGTGGAGCTTGAATGGGCAGGCATGAGAAGCTTCTCCAGTACCGAATTGGGCAAGACATCAAGCGTGTTGAGTCGGTCTCTGCCTGACGAACCATTGCATTGTGGCAGGAAATGGCAGGAAATTCCTTTAATGATGGCCAAGGTCTTGACTAACACCAAGATTGCAGTTCCGAGCAGCTTTAAGCCGGCCTTGCTCCCAGTGGTTTAAGGTCACAAAACATCGCAGTCTGCGCCCACTAGTTTTCAGGCGCTGAAGCCTGAATGGGACGAATGTGCAAACGACACGTTTTCGGTCAACGCCTCGGTCAACCAGTGGTTTAACCAGTGGTTTGTCTGAGCAATCTGCCAAAGTGATCAAAATGCCTGTCGTGCTTGGCCATGATTGGCGGCTTTTATTCGGAAAATGTGCTTGGTGAAGTTCCGCTGGGTGACTGGATTACATGCAGAAGGCCCTCATGCAACCCGTCACTCGAGCACACCTCGGTGACAAGAAAATCTGAGGTCAGGCTGCAGGTTATCGAGCGTTTCGTGCGAGCAGGATCCAAGGTGGGCAAGAACACAAGTGCTAGCAGCTGCACCACACCGCTAGTCAGCGAGGTCCTGATGCGCATCCGCGCGGAAAAGAGGATGAGACTTCTCCAGGAGGCCACCGGAGCTGAATTGTACGTGTTGCATCTGACAGATGCCTCAGACGAAGGCTATGAATGATGCCGGGGTATTCGACAAGCCAAGCTGCAAGGACTGCGGCAGCAGTTTTTTCTCAGTGTTTGGGAATCAGATGTGTGTCTGTGTGTGTGTGTGTGTGTGTGTGTGGGCGCGCACTTTCCCTGCATAGCTACGTCATGAGGCTTGGATTGATGCCGAAAACAAGGCACGGAGCCGAATTGAGTGGATTTACTCAAAAAATAGGCGAGTAGAAGGGATTCTGGACTGTCACGTGCACTCACAGGCTGGGACTCATGCGAATGTGTGAAGAACTGTAGACACACAAGAGTTTTGCAGGTGCAAATAACTGCTGAGAGAGCGAACCCCCCATTCCCAAGTCCGACAAGAAAAGCACTGAAAGCGAGGGCCTTTTTCAGAACTTTTGTCAGTCATGACAAGCGGGGCTTTCTCCAGGAGGTGGGCTTGGGATGTTTTGAGGATTCGGCATTGGGAGTCCGGGAGCCTGGGTTGAAACTGCGATAAACGGCAAGCAGCGGAAATACGCCATGATATTCGCCAGCCCAGTCCGCCTGGAGTCGCTGGGGCCTGCTGGCCTGCTGTTGCATGGGTTGGGGAGTGGAGTGGACACGCCTTGAAAAGTCCTTGAGCAGCTTGGGAAGATCTTGGATTCAAGCGCACATGATTGCTCAGTTCTGATGGTCTACAATGCCGAAGAATGTGGATAGCTCGAATGGTTTTTGTGAAATTGTTATCGTCGTTCTTTGTGTTACGTCACAGTCCATTGAGTAATGTTTGGGTCCGGGTTTTGCGAATGCGTAGCGGAGGGTTCCCGTTTTCAGAGTTGGGGATTCAGGGGTCAGAGAGTTTACGTGGCATCGCGCGCTTCGTGTTCGCAAAACGCTCGGACACGTCCGAACGCGACACAAAAAGCCGCCCCACTTGTGGAGACGTTGTATTTTGGAGCTCGTGAATGCCAGTATTTGTAGCATTTGCAACCTGTAAATGTGGATTGAGTCTAACAGCAGCCAAAAAAAGGCTGTACATCTGCAGCATTTTCGAGCCAATCAACAACTCCAAAGGCTCTATGCTGTAGCGTTTAGGAGCCTGTGGAGACGTCTTAGTTGAAAGTACGTCTTCAAGCTGCCCTAGTTCAAATGCTGTAAGCTTCCAAACCGTAATTCACAACAGCCAGAAATGATGCCAACATCAGGACCGGAGAGAAAAGGGACCGCCAGCGTTTAAAAGAAACCTCCGCCCATTGGTTTTTGGTGGTGTGCCAGGTCCTCTTTCACATAGCAAGAGCTGGTTAAACCACGCTGGAAGATTTGCTTTGGGAAGTCTTGGTAGCTAAACGCAAACTGCGCACAAGTCCCCAAACCTTTGGCAGCCTTTGCCCCCACGGTCTCAGAGCCGAAAGGTCATGGTCCCCATTCTTTTCCCAAATCTCAAAGGCCCGGCAAATCCACCAAAACACTCACCAAACGGTCAACCGGCTCCTTCCGCCTCAGCACCTCTCGGCACATACCATGCAAATACTTTGTGAAACCTTGTGGTTGCTCGCCGTTGTGCTAGAGGCAGCTGCTTCTGGAACACTTGTGAAAGCAGAGAGGGCGCCCGACAAGGCCAAAGGCCGGAATCCATGCCAGGATCCAGGTGGCCATGAAAAGGACACGTGTTGCTTGCAGGAGCGAATGACAAATCGGAAGGGACTTTACCCAACGCCTTGCACTTGGACCATCAAGGATCGAAAGCTGACTCATGCTGAGCCTGTACCGTCATGAAGGTGCACATTCCGCAGGATTTTGTCCTCCCCGTTCAAATTCCAACCCGGATGTCAGATTCCAAGCCGGGCTTGTGAGCTTGCGAGTTGTTGCAGCGGAGTTGCTGCTTGTCTGCACACATAAGGTCCGGCTTCTCAGCAGAAGAGCGTCAACCTGTGGAGGCCACTGCACGGGCTCTCATGGCAGCATAGAAAGTCCCAGCCAGCAAAAGGCGCTGCAAGGTACCAAGGGGATCAGGTGTGCCAAAGAATGCCAAAGACCTTCCGTTCTTTCTGACAGGTGGCTCAACTGGACAATTTTGAGGAGTTTCTTCCGGTGCAGGTGAACACTCGCCTTGATTTTAAAGTCCCGGACCCGGTCGGTTGTACAATGTGTTATATGTTTCCTGTCCGCGCGCAGCTTTATGTTTCAAAAATACAGGCGGGACTCATGTGCACCACCTCTTGTGGACCCCTTGCCTATGGATCCCTTTTGGACTCGATATGATACCCCTAGACCTTCTATGGACCCCCTAAACCAAAGCCCTGCCAGACAGTGTGCCTTTTCAGCGCCCTTCAGCTACACGTGGAAATCGCGCGCATGATCTCGGATTGGCGGGACACCTCGACGCGTTTGCAAGACAGGATCGCTTAATCTGTTTGTCTATACGCCCGCCTTTCGGAGCTCAACCGTAGTCCGCTCTCCAGGATTTGAAAAGCAATAAAGGTCAACAGTCGCGCCTGATCAGCTGGTTCTCCACTACATCAGGTTTGGCGCAGTGCCGACGATCCCATCATAAGCTCGCTTCGGGTTGAATCCATCCGCTTCTGCAGAGCATCCATCTGGCATATCATCTGGCATGTCAGGGCATATGGATCCTGTTGTGTCGATTGAAATGCCAAAGACCCATAAATCCAATCTGTATGGATTCTTGAAGTTGGTTGGCTGCGAGAGGAGACCTGACGCACAATTTTAGCCAGTGCAAGTCCTACAGGTGATAGGATTCTCCTCCCGAAAACCAAAAGATGCCCAAAATCCGTGATCAAAGTCTTGAAAGTATCACGGCCTGTTTCAAAATGACAAGCCAAGATTCAGAGCCTGCTAAAGAAACGCAGACGTGTGCCTACTGGCGAGGTGCAGCGCAGCGCGGGTTTGAGCGAGATCTGAAAAGGACACGGCAACATGTGGCAACGAGCTCTGGCAAAAGCCAGCGATCCTAAGCACTTGGCACGTGGGAAGACTTGCGCAACGGAACGCCATCAATCTTCGTGAATTGGCGTAGTTACTTCAGGCTGTCATTATCTTGTCAGCGACGCGACACCAGCGCAATGCGACGGAGAGTTGTCAACATGCATGTGCGCACGCATCAGATAGACTTATGCGCGGCCAGCACGCGCGGATTTTCTAAGTCAGCAAGGCCATCGGACTCCGCTGTCGGACCTGCTGCACCAGCATTCTGCAAGGTCTTGGACTACCCCCAGCATCAAGTTCCTCCTGCCTCTGCGTGCCGACATATGACTTGCAAGACTGCTGGCCGTCTCGCCTTTTACATGCAACTCGCGAAGGTACATGCAGCCAAACACCGACAGGGAACGACTGTCGGCTGCATTGGAGGACATGACTGGTGCGTAGCAGCAGCACTGTGGCCTTTTGCGTTGATTTGTCCTGGCTTGCTTTGTTGAAACGCCATACTTTTATGTTTAGTTTAATCTGGTTGAGCCTCCCAATCATGTCGTGTCCGCTGGCTTTTTGTCTGAGCATGTCTGAACGGTGGTTTTCACGAGTTTCTTTGACAGAAGGATGTGTTTGTCATGCTGTAGATGTACTGCAGTATGTCTTTTGAGCGGAGACTTCCTATTCTTTGGTGGCAAGTTTTACTACAGCACAGTTTGTGCATACAGTAAGAATTCGCATGTGACTGTTTGCCCTGCCTGTGCGCTTGAGAATGCATCTGGTCCAATGCTGTTTTCCCACCCTCGGTGTGGGGGTGTTAGTTGCCCGGGCCTTCCAGCTCAAGAATCCCGAGAAAGTTCCGCAGAGCACAGTATCTGATGACTGAGCAATGAGACCTTACTGAGTATTTCTGGACTGCCCACCTCAAAGAAGCCCGCCGAGAATCACCGGAGGGCCGACCCCAAGAATACTCAAGATCTTCCCTCACCGTGGGGCACAAAACTTTTCTTGAGTTCGCAGTCCCAGATCATCCCTACATCTTCGGGCACGGAAGTTTTCAGTAAATGGTTGGTGTTCTTGACTTCCGACGTCTTGCACTTACAAGAGCTCTTCTGTCGTTGCTGCCCGAAAATCGACAACACGAAATTAAGTAATTTCAGACAGAAGTTGTGTCAGCAAGCTTTTCTGCAGCTCTCAGTGAAGATTACCTGTGTTCTAGCTGCAAGTTTGCCGGCGAGAGTCCACGCAAAATCGTGTTGTAAAATTACAGATTGCGTGGTCTCCATCTCCTAGCGCACAGTGCAGGAGAGCCTGGTGTTGGGGCAACGTGGAGATGAGTTCGATGGAGCTGAGATGCCCGTAGGCATGCCCGCTTAAGCCTCATCTTACATGTTTGAGTTCCAAAAGGAAAAATGCTCGTGACTCCAAGAATGTCTCAAGCAGAACCGAGTGCTGAGGACTCCTGTCTTCTCCCTCCTGTGCATGATGTTCGGGGCTCTGCTTCTGCACGGATTGAATCCCCAAAAAATCTCACAGATCCGCATGGTGCTGAGGCCCTTTCTTTGCTGATCCCTTCCACTGAGTGTAGGCCGACAGCCTTCATCTGGCAACATTTGGCAAGCTGAATGCATTGTTCGAGAGCGCCGGCCAGGACCTTCGTGGCGTACCCTGATTCTGCAGAGTGTGATCCGGAGCACGGCCTTGCGGAGAAGGCCGGGCTTTTACTTGGAATCAGCAGAGGCAACATTCACTGGCGTGCGCACCACAATTGCCTTCCTCACAACTTCCTGCCAGCCCGACCTCCTCAAGCCCCTCGACATGATTCCCATACTTCCGCGCGGAACTTGTGTTTCGATGGATGGCCTACATTCAGTTTCTACCGCACCGCTGGCAGATCAGCATACTGCCGCAGCAGGTTGCTCATATCGAAAGCCTGAGGTCCAGCATCATGTCATTGGAATCGCTCTGGTCCAACGCTCACACTGGCTGCTTGTGCACACCAGACCAAGTTTCTGAAGGAAGCTTTTCTCAATCATGCCTGAAAAGCCCCGGCTTGGCTGCGAAGTAATTTGGGAGCACGTTGAGCCACACCATGCCCGGCTTAAACAGGATCGTCCCATGGTTGGGGATGTTGGGGGCTCCAGTCATGTCCTCTCAAAACGAGGGAGAGGGGGAGGGGGGGCGCCCCAGACGCGTGGCGGGCAGTTGAGCGGGGGGGGCGAGCCCGTTAGAGAGGCTCGCTCATGGTTTGGGCCAACGTGAGGAATGTGTGCCCAAGGAAGTCTGACAGTCTGACATTGACAGCCCACTCTGGCTTCTTCTCTGCTCAGGCTGGAAAGCTACCGAGCGCCACGAGAAGCTCAAGAACTTGTCTTAGCATTAGCCGGCATCCTTGGGGAGCATTCCGCAGCATTCCTGCAAACTCCTCACACTTGTCAGGACCCATTCCAGTATGGTGACCCCTTCTGCCCCAGCTTTGCTGAGGCTTCACAGTCGTCACTGATTTTGCGGCTGTACAACAAGTGCGTACTCGTACCTGCTGTTCGTAGGCTGGCGGCGTTTTGGGACCTTCACTGGGCAGGGGTCACAGCTTTCAGTAGCGGAGCCTTGAGCTGCACTTGACCATGCAAACGGGTTCCATGTGAATCGCTCGAAGACGCCTAGGTGCTGACTTGGGTGGCCAGCGCTTGTCCTATAAGCCAGCGGGGCACGCAAGTTCTCACATGAGCCTGAATTTGCTTTCTGTGGGCTTACCTGTGAAGCAAGGTCGGCGGCGCGGACAATGATCTACCTAGCGACACCGATGACGATGAGCAACCAGAGCTCCAAGTGCCGCCACCAGGTCCAGTCATGTCCAGTCAATCCGTGCCTGCATATGTCTGCATGTTCACGATGTACCAACAAGAGCACGGCCCATGGCGGGCAAAAAAGCTGCCGAATCAGGAAAAGACCTGCAGAGCAAGGCAGTCTCCAGCTTGGTCGGGGGCCAAGCCGGACCAGTCCACAAATGTATGTTGAGTCGGAAGTACGTATTCCATCATATTCCATCATATTCCCACGCATGGTATTAAAGGCGTCTTAGTGCAAGATAATGTCCGAAAAGACGAATCGCCGCCATCCGAATTTGACAAGAATTTCCCTGTGGAGAGATGAATCACACCGTCCTTGTGAGAAGACTTTTCAAGTGATCGCGGCACCAGCTCTATGACTGTACGATCGTTGAAGCTCAATCTGCTCAAACTACTATCATCAAACATACCTGCTGCCATCAAGTGCATAAGAAACGTGTTGTGACCCCACCCTGCGACAGACCAGAAACATTGACACGTCGAAGGGAGATGCATTCAATGTAGAATTTGCAGCCGCCCTCCTCCAAAAAATGCAGATACCATTTAACGACGAAGACACCACGAAGTCCGGACCCCATGTAAAAGTAGAGACACAGACTCGACTGTTCTTTGCCTGTGTTTTCTCGGGTACGCCAATGTGTGACTTGTGACTGACGACGGCACGGCACAAGATTGGGCCCCATGTTGCAGCAGTTTTTGTCGCGTAATGCAAGATCCTGGCTTCCGCCTCTAGAATTGTTCGTCGCCCTGGAGGAGTTGGGGGCATGAGCGACTGTGCTACAGACTTGTAGCGCCTTACATGCCTGAACCCATCCGTTGGCCATCATTTTTGCCCTGATGAAGGTGGCCACCCGAACCCGGACCGCACTGCCTTCGCTCTGGCACAAAGTGTCTCCACTAGGGAGTCCTTAGCAGAATGAATTACTTTGCAACTTTGCATAACTTTGTACTTTGGCCTTATACGTTGTCGAGGATGCAAACCCTCTCGAGATCACGCATGCAGTTTCGATGTTTTTCAATGGTCTTCGCATAATTTCGCATGTTCTCGCTGTCGGCCCAATTGCTTTAAGGTCAGTTACGCATACAGTTTAGTTGGTGCTGCGAAACATTGCGTTCAGGCAGGCCAAAACGCGCTTGAAACAAGCAGAGTGATGAGTGGCTCGAGAGGTCAGGCACAGACTCAGCCGGGAAAGAATTGTGGTTTTATCACTATGAGTGGCCACGACGTGAAACCCAAAGATACTCCCTTTTTTATGCGACTTATGCGACTGGGTAAGCCCCCAGCGCTGGAAACTTCATGATGAGGATGGGCAGGCTGTTGGCGAGATGTGGCAAAAAGCTAGGACATCGGAGGACCGCTTGGTTTGACACTTATCGCCGTTTTCGCTCCTGTGGGGTTGACCGCGAAGGACGAGCTCAACAAGCTCTGTTACTCAAACGGTCGCGCAGTTGCGACCTCAGCAGACCCGACTTGAGTATGCTATGCAATAGAATTCAAGTAAACAGTTCGGCAGAATAACTATACTACACAGCTGCAGTGACGAAGCAGTGCCCAAAGCTCTGGGAAGCTAACTATTGTTGGAGATACTTCGATGTACCTGGCCAATCTGGTCCCGAAGGGGGGCTTCACGGTGTGCCCAGGTTGCGAAGTGTAAAGGCGTGTTTTCTTCGGATTAAAAAGGTGGTGTTAAGTGTTATGTTCAGATTTCTGAGAACTTTTGCGTAGAATGAACAATGACTGCCGAACTCTACTGAAACTCAGACGTATCAGCTTGAAGCAATTTTTGCTTCTATTGTGGCCTTTCGGCGCTCGGCTTGTCTCGGCAGGTGAGGGACAAGACGAATAGCCTGAACCATGATGTGTCGTCGGGTAAGCTCTACCTAGGGTGATGTACAGCTTCGGGCCGGCGTTGGCCCACTAAATTCTGCAAGTCTGGGCTTTGCCATGGCGCATTGTCAAGCAATGCTGCGTCTCACCTTTGCGACCCCACAAGCGTTAATCTGCAAGTGAGCTGCAAACAGCAGCCTGCTGCTGCATGGTTCTGTGGAAAAGGCTTCGTCCGGATGTGTCGTGTTCAGCCCATGCATGAACGACATCTTATGAGATGCGGTACTTACTGCCGAGCTGTTTCGCAAAAAGGCTGTTGCATGGCTTTTCGACTTTGAGATGAATTTGGGCTCCAAAGCATTGCATAAGAAAGTGCCATAAGCGACCTGGCCAAAGCAGGAGGCAACGGGAGGAAGTATTATCTGGTTCTCCCAGAAAAGAGCTTGCTGGCCTCGAGGCCTCGCATGGGGCCACTCCGATCTATTCACGGGCAGGCAGACATGGGCAAAATTAGGATTCAACGCTGAAGGGCTAAGTTGTTACTCCCCCCTCCCCTCTCCCCCAGCCCGGTACCATGTTGGTGCAAAGAAAGGTTGTGTGGAGCTTCGTGGATGTGCAGTACTTCCTGTAAGAGGAAGTTAGATAAATAAGAATAAGAAAGCACCAGGATCTTTTCAAGATTGCCGTAGCTTCTTCAGAAAAAGAGAGACTTCATCTCCTGTTTAAGCTTGCGGTACAAGAAATTGCCGGATACTAGGAAACAAGTTCTTCCCAACAAAGAAGCCTTTCTTCCATTAATTGATGGCTACGGGGTTGAGCTTCCGGTCGCTACCGACGCCTCTGCCAGAAAAGAACAGGTCAGTTGCTAGTCTTACAGTCTTAAAGTGCATTGAACCTTCCGGGAGTCCGTCACAAAGGTAGGGGAAGGTTCGCAGGAGCCGAGGTTTGTGGACGGCCGGGCAATTGGGCAAACACGGATGTATATACTGGTACTATAGCCTGTGCGACGCACTTCGATCCACCAGCAGAGGACTTTAAGAAAACTAGTACTGATTTTCAGAATTTTCTTCCTAGGCAGTAGCCATCCAAGCCAGCCAGCCCCGAAGACGTTGCAGAATAGGGAACTAAGAAACCAGTTCTGATGTTGCTCTTTTGTTTTGGCAAGCTAAAGAAAATGCTGCTGGTAATGCATAAAACCAGCCGAAGTTCCCGGACAGTGGATCTTAATAAATTCAGGGACCACTGATATCTCTGAAAACTTTCCCATGGTGGCGGTCTTGGGGGCTGGCTGGCTGGCGTCCGGGCTGGCTGGCTGGAGTCTGCTTAAACAGAAGAAAGTTAAGAAAATCAGCGCCCCAGAAATCCAGACCAGTCATTTCTTAATCATACGCTGTAGACTTGGAGACCTGCAGCTCAAACCTTCAGGATTTGGAAGTCTCTGGGCCCTTGGAAGTCCTCACGCTCTACGACACTCCCCAAACCCAAGTCCCTCAGTGGATAAGATAAGAAATACGGGCCATACATGAAAGAAGTTTGTGTGTGCGTTATCCAGAACAGGTTTTGAGACCTGAAAGACAAGTGCTTCGTAGTGCAGATTTTTCTGCTCCTTACGAAACAACAAATTTTTGTTTTTACCGCAAGTAAGAGGCTCCCTTTTCTCTTTTTCTCGTTAGTATACCGTGGGACAGAGATCTACTTCATTCATGTAAAAAGTCTATTACTGCGTTAGCACTGGGCCAGCATGCAAAAAAGCCCTAGTCGTGTTACGTATGACCCGAACAAATGAGAGTTCCCATTTCTATTGAGCACCGATGTCTATCCAACACTTAACCCGATTAGACCCCCAAATCTCTGCAAGAGCTCATAGACAAAGTTGGTGGGCCAATGCTTTCCAGCTTCTACAGATTCGAGCCGGAGGTCCCCATATTTCTTCGACGGGGAAGTTTCCACAGCTTATTGAACGGAATCTTTTTCCCGTCCCGTGCACTTGTGGGCTAGCGTGAGTCGCGAAGTCCAGAATTGCTCTCGTTTTTAAGTTTGGATCGCCAGTGATACTTGCAATGTGTCATCGCCGTGCCGTGGTATTGCACTGATTGGGGCCTGCGCTGACATGAAAAAGGAAAGTGACGGAAAGTGCGTCAAATTGTTTTCCATTTAGTTTGGCAAAGAGAGACTCTTCAAGCTTTTGGGGATGCACGTGGATGGGCTCTTTGCACTTCACGTGAGCTCTTCAGTTGGGCATTTGCTCCCCGGGCTGAAGTCCTTGGAGAGCAGAACCTTCTGAATTGAAGAATTGAGGAGAGGCTTCTACTTTGGAGGCTCTTGGACGACTGGACAAAACAAGGCTCTGCAAGACGGCGAACGCAGAACGGACGCGGCCTAGCCGGTCGCGGGTCATGGCAGTTCTTTACGATCGACAGCTGTTGTTTCTCATACGTCTTGATCACATATTACATTGAGACGCGCTTGAAAGGTCAGGGCACTTTTTGCACAAGCCTTGCACGACGGATTCCCATCTCTTCACCAAGACGCCGAGAGCTTGGGCAATATTCGAATGCTGGCTTGTGAACATGACAGGGTGCGCGTTGCTATATCCTACTATATACCACCACTGCTTGCCGATCATGTAGCACCCGCCGACAACAACTACAGATGCATTGGCGCACTTCATTGCTGCATCTCTCTTTCTCCTGAAGGCAGCAGTCATAAAGGGCAATCCGAAGTATGGACCTTGCCTTAGGTGCAGATGCCACCAAAACCTGTCACGCTACAGCACGCAAGGCAAGCCTACGTCACTTAGGCGACTACCAGTGCAACAATGCCATGACAATCTTCAAAGAGCATGGAACAGGCTGGGCGGCAAAGTGTATTGCAGACCCGACTGGCTACTAAATGCAACAGCTCTGTAAGCTTACATACGGCTGAAAAGGCCCGGCCGGCGGTTCCACGTTTCAGTTTCAGGTGAAGCTTTGCGCTGTTGTTGTTCCGAGGACACGGACACCGAAAACTCTCAGGTTCTAGCTTTTGAAGTCCCCTTCAAGAAGAAAGCGATGCCAAGGTCTGGGCTTCCAGACGCCCCTACAGGTGGCAGAAGCCATAAGGCAGGGATGTGTGATGCATAACGCCTGAAGAGCACGCCGAGGAAGCATGCTCAATGCTTAGCCGGACCGTAGAAGTCGAAGTCCAAGTTCTTTGTCCCACAGCGAAAGCGAAATGGTTTTTTCTAAGGCAACGAGGTTCAAATAACACAGGCAAGAGACTGATACAGAATTGCTTTGTGGATGCACATGTTGTATGCTCAACAAGCCACAAGCCAACACTCTTGACTCAACAACTCATGGATGCGCCACGCATGAGTTGTACTGGCTCTCGCTTGCAGTGAAGGGGAGCTTTACCAGCCAACGACATCATCGGCGAGATAACTGTTGCACCGCCGGGTTTTGTCACAGCCTGCGGCCTAGGCTTATGCAGCTAGTGAAGCTATGTATCAGAGCTGTGCGGGACCCATAAAATTCAAAATTGAGGTCAAAATAAGTGAGCAATGGATCGCCAAAGAGGCCCGCTGACGGGACATGCAGGGCTTTCGAGGAGAAGTTCCAGGTATTTCCAGGTCCAGGCTCCTAGTGGCAAAGGCAATCAAAGGCATGAATTCTGCTGCGTGCCATAGCATGTCATAGCATGCAACACCGGCAAGACAGGTCGGCCAGATACTTCAAGGCGACGTAGAATATAAAGACTTGCCCAGAAAGAGAGCTGCTGCCTGAGACGACATGTCTTCTGATGTATCCCGCACAATCCCAGAGATACTCTGCTGTGATGGGTGCAACGTGACCCCGAGGTTATAGTGGACTACTCATCTCCAAACATCGCCAAGGAGATGCACGTGGGACACCTGAGGCATTTGATCATCCGAGGCACATGCCGCAGTGATGATGCTTGCTGCCTTGGCGGAGGTCCACGATCATTGGCGAGTCGATGCGCCGAGTTCTCGAGTTTTGTGGGCATGAAGTCCACGGCCATGGACCGAGCTGCCCTGGTAGCTGCGCGTCTCTCCTGCATGCGCTCGGTAAGATGACCCTCCTGCCAAGGCCTCAACCATGTTGGTGACTGGGGCACTCAGTTTGGCATGCTCATTGAGTACATGAAAGAGGCATATCCCAACTTCCAGGTGGGCCTCCAAACCAAGTTGCGTCGGGTTTCAGAGCCAGACGTTGCAGGAGCAACTTCCAGAAGTGCACGATCTTCAAGAGTTTTACAAGGACGGAACTGGTTTCATGGACTCAGCATTCTGCTTGTTCTTACTCCGCTTGTGTCCAAGGCCTCCAAGAAAAGATTTGACGACGATGCGGACATCCCCTCAGATCATTGGCGCTGGCAGTGCTGCAACAGCACATACCCAAAAGCCCATGTGCCACAGGAGTTCAAGTCTCGCGCGCAGCTTGCCGTTGTCGATCTGCAAGCTGGCGGCGAGTTTGTGCCGAGCTTGGAGGGTCTTTCATACTGCGACACCAATTTTTGAGTGGTTGCGCGAGGGTGGTGCCACAACAGCACACAGCCAGCTATGGCACTGTTTGTGGGGAAAGCATGGTTGGTACAGACCTAGTGGGAAGAGTCGCGGAATTCCCGGCGAGAAATGGGAGGGATGGGCAGTGATCCTCCCTGAGACCAATTAGAGAGGAGGGGGACTAGGGCAGGAGGCACAGCCACGGCTGCTGTCGGCCAGTATAAGGTAAATTGCAAATCATGGCCGCCCCCAAAACGAGAATCCTTGACCGGTGAAGATCGGATCGAGGTGTTTTCCAAGCCCATGAATGCAACAAGAGGATGTCAGCTAGGCAGGTGGCAAAAAACAAGAGCTTGCTTCTTACTGAAGCCGTCACGCCAAAGTCTTCGGGGGCGTCACAGGCAGGCCCACGTGATGGCCTGGCAGAACTGAACAGTAGCAATTGTTCCGTTATGGTCGCCCCGCAGCAATGCAGTGGGACAGTCACACCCGACCTTCTACAAGTGCTTCGAGGATGAAGTCAAACATTTTTGTCGGTAGCTAGCTGCTCAAGGTGGTCGTGGCAGAATCTTCGTGGTCCCTAATCTCACCAAGTCGGCTTGAGGTTCATCCGGACCCGTGGAGCCTTGAACATGGGGTTGGTGACATTGGGCAGCATGGTGTGGTGGGAGGTGTTTTCCTTGCCTCGTCAGATCTGTCCAAGCTGGCTCTACTGAAGTGCTGAATAGAATAAGAAGGATCATCCACCAGAAGCCGTTGAAAGACTGTTAAAATGTGTGGAGGCCCATGCCCGGCCCTGGGTCGCTGCCATCCACTGCATGTTCTGGAACCTGAGAAATTAGCGCAAGTCATGTTTTGAGCTCGTACTTTGTGCAGGGCAGATTCAAAGTTCAGGCCCCCTGAAACTCAACCAGCCTAAACTCGCATCCCCGCCACGTCGAGGTCCCAGTTGATCAGTTTTTTGTGAAAGTAGAGGGGTCATGGGAGGCTGGCGCTAAACAGGATCCCGAAGTCTTTGTCGCAAGCGTGATCTACAGACGCAACCTGACTCTTGCAACAATGAGAATGAACTATCCTCAGACGCTGCCTGTTCCCCAGGCGAGATCAGCCTGGCAAAAAATTTGCGAAGTCAGCAGAGTGGCCTTCAACAGGCTACGAAAAGAGTTTCAGAGTTGGCCCCGCTGCGTGCTTTAGTGGGACGCGTGGCAGGATATACAGCAGGCTTGACATCTCCATTGAGGACGCCGGCTGGTTGAGTCGTTCGATGTCCAGTGGTGAGCGGAGCTGAATTGTGATTTGCCCCAATGCCACTCCGGAACACGTACGCTGACCAGATTCCCAGCAATGATGCGTGACATTAAGTCACCCTCTGTTTACTTCGTGTATGTTAGTGGATATATATATATATGTGTGTGTGTGTGTGTGTGTTTATGTATATATGTATTTTTGTGTATATGTATTTTTGTGTATATGTTTTTATGTATATATGTCCTTGGTATTTATGTATATATGTGTATATGTGTATATGTGTGTATTTGTGTTTTTATGTATATATGTATAATTCAAGCCATGCGCCGCTCAACCCGTCCCGCTCAGTCTTTGTTGGGGATTGAGGACCTTAGTGAATCTTTTCTTGCATCATGCCAGAAAACCATCCGCAGTCTGCCAGGAACGAGGTGAGTCTTTCTACAACTCCTTGATCCCACCTATTGTGGAGGAGCTCAAGGCACGACCGCTGGAGGAATGCATTCATAATGCATCTTTCGAGCATTTAGACATACTTAGACCAGCTATCCCATCACGTAAGTCACGTTGTTTGCACTGTGCTGTGCTTTCTTATCTTGCCCCTGCACAAACTGCAAACAAGATCTGCAGTCTCTTGTGATCACATACGCCTCTCAAAACATTCTTTGTTGAGTTTTGACGCAAGATGTTGCAAGGGTTTAATGTGCACTGGAAGACTCGACCACCGCCTCTACGGATGAATTGCGGGCTGCCATGTCCCACGATTTTTCGCGATTTTGTTGGCCTGGAGGTCCAATCGGAGGATGATGTCCGAACACAGTGTTGAGCCCGCTTTAGTTGGCCCTCCTCCACAGAAACGACTGCACGCGGGCCGGAGGGGAAGCCATTTGGCCTGAAGCTTTGCCTGTTTTGCCTGAAGCCTCTGCATGCCCAAAGCCTTTACTTTCAAAGCTTTCCTGCAGTTTCTTACTGTCATTGGTTGTGTTTGTCTTGGTTTCCTGTATCTTTTTCTTCTTTTTTCAGACCTCCATCGAAACTGCCTAGAAACCGATGTTAACAAGCAGGCGTGCGCACAGTGCGGGATCGTTGTCTTCAGGCGCGCTGCTAGCGAAGTCTAACGGTTCAATAGTAAATACAGCAGCAAACTCAGCCGCAAGACCCGGCAGACTCGTTAAGTCTGCGCCTGCTTTGAGACACCTCGATCTGGCAATCTGCGATCTGCAAGGCTGCAAGGTGTAGATCCTTCGAATCTTCGAATGAAATGGCATTCTTTCCCTCAAAAGAAAAACATGCACGAGCTGCTCTGACAAGAAGGGAGGACTCTTTCTATCGAACAGTAACTAACTCGCCAAGGGTATTGAATATCTTCTCTGACTCAAGGGGCATCTCAGATGGACAAATGCAGATACGTACCGAGGATGCCTGCCTTATCAGGAAGCTTTCCTGCCCTTTCTCTGCTTTCGCTTCTCTGTGAGCTCCTTAGGGCCTTAGGGATCCACTCCTTTCGCCAACGAGCGAAATCCCCCAAGTTCATGACCATGACAGTAAGGTACACCGTGGAGGTGGGGATGACCGGGCTGACGAACTCGTTGTCGTGACCTCCTCCGTCTGTTGCAGTGTCTTCCTGGAATCGCTCCTCTACGCCTGTCTCAGGGGCCAGAGCTGCCCCAGAGCTGCCTGCTGGAGGAGAGTGTGGCCCAGCACGTAGCGAGTGTCACCCGAGAATAGCCGGATGTCGCTATCTGCCGGCTTCTTCAATCGTAGATTGGGTCGAGCTTGGCCATGCTTGCAAAACCCTCGACTCATCGGAAGAAGTCCCACAACGTAGCTCGAAGAAGGCCATGGTCACACCGGTGGGTGCCGGCTGGCCAGGAGCTAGGCCCATCCCATCACTCTTTTGCTTTCTCGGAGCTTTCTCCTATCAAGGTTGGGCCTCCCACCTTGAATCAATTTGCGGGACTGAACTTCTGAGTCTTCAACGAGATGATCTTCTTGCAGATGGCTAACTCAGAGCTTGCATAGAGGAACTGCAAGGTGTTTTGCTCAGGCGTTTCGCTCGAAACTTGCGTCCTCCGGCCTTGCTGGCACCCCTTCCTGCGGGGCAGCGTTTCGGAAACCAGATCGGCGTGATCCATGGCCGACTTGAAGAAAACTCGTAGCTCCCGATGCCTGGCGGCTCCGGCGCCTGCAACCGTAAAGGCTGGCCTGGATTGACAGCCTCATTGCCTCAGATTACTGAGAAGGGCCAAGAGCCGACATGCCTCCACTGCGGGGGCCTTCCTTGGTGACGAGGTTCCTGGCGGTGATGCAGAGAGCTTAAGAAACGCTATCGCATTTGCGCATTCGTCTCACGCACCGCCTCTGGTACGTATCTCATTCCGGCTTCATCTCTGGCTCTGCTTGACAAGGAGACTGCGCTGGTCTGGGTTTCGGGTGCCTATGTCCTGGCACAAGACTCAGGTGGTGCAGCTCGAGCCGACAAAACTCGACAAACTGCTTGCTCTTTGTCACCGAGTCCGCGCAGCCAAACAGCGCACGGTGCAAGTTCCTTTGGCTTTCCAGCCTCTTTCGTTTCTTGCGTCCCTCTTTAGCTCCACTGTACCAGTGCCAGCATCATGTATGCCGGCCATGGCCTCTCTCACGGCTGATGAGGGGGCTCGTTTTCGCGATATTGTCGCCGAACCTCAGTGATGCTCTCGTCTTGCAGACGTGTGTAGGCTGTAGGAGTACCCTCCAGATCCCTCCAGTCTGGTCGGTCGTTTGCCCTTGCGAACCAGACTTACGTAGGGCCGCTTCTTGATGCGGCCAGAGAAGCCGTAGATCTCTCGATCGACCCTATGGTTTCGCAAGTTCCGATCCAGTTCCTTGCTTCTGGCTCCGGAATGCGAACTCAAGGCCTTTGCGCTTGTGCTGCTTCATACTGTTCCGGGATGGTGCCTGCGTCTGTTATGTCGGTTCAGTCAGTGCGCGCTTTTTTTCTGATTTACCAGCTTCTGCCACCTGTCGCTCCAGTGTCTACGCGCGCGACAATGCGGCATGACTCGTGCTTGTCCTTTTCCCTCCCCTGTTGTGGAAAACTCGCACCGGTCCGTCTGGAGGTAACCTGCACGAGGGTCCCCGGAGTCGCCGGAGTAGCTGACCGGATTTGCCGCTCGTATCAGCTCGCCGCAAATGCAATAAATTTGCATCTGCCCCTGCGTCAGATTAACTGCAGGGCACACGAGAGCGGGCGGAGAGGCCGGGGGGTGGGGGTGTTATCTGACCTGAGCCTTTTGGAGCGGGGATAGGGGGCCAACGATGTTCTTTCCTTCCTCCTGCCTCTTTCTCCTCCTTCTGAACCCTCTGCCTGACCCCTGAAAGCGCACACCGCCATGGCACACAATTCTTAAAGACAGCCCAAAAACAAGGTGCAGGCCTCTAAAAGGCCGTGAGAACAGTTTGTTGGGTTACATGGGGCACTTTGCGTGCGCGAAGCCTAAGAAAAATGCACATTCTCTTGCAGGTGCAGCAGTTGCAAGTGTCGAAAACACCGAAGGCTGTGGCAATGGTTTTCGTGTTTTCGCGAAAATCCATTTTCGCTCGAAGCCTGATGGGATTTTGGTGTTTGTTTCTTGCGGGGGTTCTGTTCTTTGGAAGGTTACAAGTTTTGCTTAATCGTGCTCTCGCCACAGCACGGGCGCGTTTTGTGGAATAGCCACTTGCACTTTTAGAATCGTGTTTTTTTAACATGGCTTGGGATCGTTTCAGATTCATTAGCCAATTTGTGCTTGAAATCGTGCTCTCACCGCACCTGGGGGGGGGGGTTTCGCTGGCCACTCCAAACCAAAATCCCCAAATCGCCTATAGAGCTCAAGATGCCCCGAATGTCCTGCCGAGGCCGTGTTTTCACTTGACGGGTTGAGGCTCTGGTGCGTGTGAGCACATTTTTTTGTTTGTATTGGGGAAGGGGGGGAAAATGACATCCACTAGTACGGCGACCAAAACTTCCCAAACTCTGGTATTTGCAGCATTTGCAAGGATGCTTGGGTTCTTTTCTGGAACGAGCAGCGCTGTCCCAAGCATTCGTGCGCTTGTCGAACATGCCGGTATTTCCAACGTTTTTTGGATATTTGACGTTTCTCGAAGAAGACGCGCTGTCATGGAACATCAGGGTAAGCACATGAAAACGGCCTGTCAGGTTTGGGCAAATGTGGGCATGCAGGACTGTGTATTTCCGCAAATCCAGACACATGCGTTTCTGTCAGGTCAGGAAGATCTGCACCGAGAGTGAAGGGGCACGCTGGCTTTGCTGCTTGATGTGCCTGCAATGATTCCTATCGGAGATGTTACAGTACGGCGTGCCTGCTATGCTGTGGATGAACGCACTGGTTCGTCCTCTTAACAGAAAGAAAAACAGCTCAGGCGATGTGCATATTTACGCCCAACATCTCGTCGATCCCTCTCATGGCCGATGCTCCCAGAGAGTGGCTCTACACATTGTACCTTCACCGGCTGCAAGAGCATGTATTGCAGCCTTGCAAGACATGGTCCACGGACGTACCGGCCAAGCAGTGCAGGCAGTCAAGTCTGACGGAGGTTTTGGTTACGTCGCGTCCTCGCGAAGGAATGTTCAGCCTGCAGGTACCTTCGACAAACTGCTTTCACGAGACCTTTGATTGGCACCAAGGACTCGACAGATCTGGCAGCCGTTTACCATCGGCTCTTCGTCATGAGGGCGGACTGGTACGCAGCTGATGTACACCTCCTTTCATGCTAGTGGAGCTGATGCGAAATCATTCTCAGGGTGATTTACGTGACGGATCTTGGCCAGGCTGGTAGCAAGTCTAGGGCAGTTTGCCTGTCAGTTCTACTTCATTGTAACGGAAAGTAATTTTCCGCACCTTGACCTCAGAGGAGCAGCACTTTCACATGATATTCGACGCCGCCAAACAGGTGGATCCTGCTGTACAACTTTGCACATGGTTGCACAGCTGACACTTCAGTTGAACTCCGGTCAAAATTTCTCTGATCCAGGCAGGATGGCACAAGCCCCCATTGACACGTTGCGATCATATGGGCGGTTTTCTCGGCATGCTAGTTGTGCATTTTCCTGACGTGGAGTTGAGAGAGACTTACTTAGGCTTTGGTGTGATCCAGGGAGAAGACAAGAAAAAGTTCAAGACAAGGTACGTGCAACACACTTTCATATGCGCCACCGGATGTCCGTACATGCAGAGGTCCGGAGAGACTGTGAAACTTAGCGACTTGCTGGACGAGGCTCTTTGCGACTGGGGTGAATTTGGGAGATGTCAGATGTTGTGCCAGGCCGTGCAGCGTGCTAGCCAGGACAGTCTCCGCAACACCTTGGCGCATCTGACGCCGGATCACAAAATATTCCGTGTAAGCGCATACTCTCCCCTCTCAAGGAGATCCAGCAAAGAGTCGAAGACCAGAGCAAGGATGGTGGGGAAGCCTTCCTTACCGACCCAAAGGACAGAGTAGGCAAGCACTTGGAGCAGCGTGAAAATGGCACGGCATGGCCACGGCTTCAGGAGCAGAAGGATGCCGCTGAAAAGATCGGAATGGCCGCAGTGCGGTATTTCGACATGAAGCAGCATCTCACCAAGACATACAGTCAACTACAGTTGTGCTGACTAATTATTTGAAAAGCTTCCGGTGCTCGCACTGTCCTCCAGGAATCGGACCACCAACTATGTCTTCAATTGGGATCGCATGCTCGATGCCAAGGTTGGCAGGATCTGGCACTGAGACATAGCTCCATGTGTCAGTAGCGAGGTTTTCTTGCGGCCTGTTGGCAGGGGAACTCTGCAGTTTTCCTTTTCTATGCCTACGCGAGGATTCGTGCCTGGGAATCCCAGTTGTGTCCATCATAGGGGGCCGACAACAACTGCCACGTACTGCTCCAGCATTTCTCGTTCTGCTTTGCTGAGTCCATCCAACGCAAGTCTGGCATCGACATGTCCAGCATCCCTTCGAACCTCCTTGAGGCCCCACGCAGGGTACTGGCACGGGTACAGTCTCAATTCTTAAGCCACAAGCCACACATCACCGACAGGATGTCGAGACATGCAGTCCGAATTCGCTGCATTTGCTGTCATTTGCTGCAGGTGAAGCACCCCTCGGAGAGGGACCTTGCGCTTGTCGCTCAATCACGAATCTGGTCCCAGATTCGTCTGCATCCGTGTGTACAGTTCGATGTTTTCAGATGTTCTCAAACATGATGTCCAGGTTGAAGCTTTTGCAGTTTCCCGAAGTTATTGAGGCAGGCGTGCTGAATTCGTGCCATGCCGAGCGTGGCTTCCATGGCTCGCCCATGCTTCGTAAGGTTCGTAGCAGATGCATGGCTACAGGCAATCCTGGCAGACCTACACTTGCACCACCTCACCGACTACTTGTGGGAGTGTCTCAGAAGCACAGAGAAGATGGACATGTTGGCAGTCTCGCAGGGTTCCATGTCACGCACTTCTGCAGGCTATGCAACACCCTCACCGGTTTTTACATGAAGTGCAAGGCAGTGGACTTATAAGATCTGCCGGTTCTGTGTGTAGTGGCTTCAGCTTCACAGAATATCCTACGAGACGGAGGTTTTGGGCGAAGCAGCACAGTCCAGCCGGTTGCTCCTCTGCGAGGCTACTAGAAAGGCGAGAATAGGCAAAGTGCGGCATGTCTGCAATAGAACTCCTTCTTGCGAAGTCTTGCAGGTTCTCCTGAAAAGCTTCCAGCTTCTTGGGTTCACGCCGTTGGACAAGATTTGAGTCAAGACCACTGTGACAGCATCCGTGTGAAGGTCCAATTCTGCATTGGACCTCGACTGTACAGAGTGCTCAAAGTCCAACGGCAAAAAGGTTTCCGGATGCTGGCTCCAGGATCAGGAACGGAACCGAGTGGAGAGGAAGGGCGATGCTTTTTTGGAGGCTGCCGAGAGGATTCCGGAGCCATGGCACTTTTTTCCACACGCATATGGAGTTGCAGCTGATGGGCTCCATGGCTTGACCTGCTTTCATGCCATGTTTAAGGCTTTTTTAATACCATGTTCAAGTCATGTTTAGCTTCGGTGTGAAACGTTCGAGTTCTCAGTTCTCAGTCACCAAAACATCACACAGCAACCGAGTAGAATCGCGACACATGGCATTCGACACTTAACCAGTGTTGTTCCGCATCAGCTGGTGGCTATGTCTTGTGTGGCGGTGTGGCAGCGCTCGGCGTGCCTAGCCACACGACGCGCATGGCATTTTCAGCGCCTGAGGTTCTTGCATGGAGGCCGGCTGAGGAGTTGATCTCCTGGCCATCGTGTAGAGGCCTGCTCGCAGAAGCTCGATCAGTCCACCGACGCCTTCAAGACGCCCTGAAACAAGGAGAGTCGATCAAAGCATCATTGGCTTCCCTGGCTGTCGACGGCGACAGCGAAGATGAGGAGTTGGCCGAGCTGAGGCTGTTTGTGTCTGATGTGATTGCCAAAGTAGCAAAAGCACCACGAAGGGCCAAGTTTAGAAGGGTCCAGGCTGCCCAGGCTGCATATGGTGCCAATCATGCAAGCCATGGCAAGCATGCATCTCCTGGTCTCTCAAAGGCACCGAACCACCAAGAAGCTCGTTGCCAACCATCTCCAGCCCTGCCGTGCTCCTTGCACCATAGCGCAGACCCGAAGAACTGGCCGGAATGTGACACTGAACTGAAGCCTCAGTCCAGTGACGGAGAAGACTCAGATCACAAGCCCTTGCACAGACATTTGAAGCTCTCTCTTCGGAGGCATCTCCAACAAGGGGTCCATGCGGAAGCAGTCCGGCACAACAGCGAGCCAGACTTGCATCTTGCCACGAGCAAGGAACATACCAGCCATGCTGCGGCGGAAGCTGATGCAGCAGGTAAGGCTGCCGAGACTAATTTTGGAGCGGCTACCCGATCCCAAGCCGAAGCGATCGACTTGGATGTTCTTGCCCGCCCAAAGACCAGCAACCGGCAACCCCAGACATCACTGCCTTGCAATGCGAGCAATTTGACTCGAGTGGATGTATTGTACCAAGAGAATCCTGTTCAGCAGCAAAGGTGCGCACCTGCCCTGCGGGCTAGAGATTCAAACTCTGAGGATACGGGCTGTTCACTTGAGGCGTCGCCTGAGCACATTGAAGCAAGCGCCACACAGTGCACATCAGCAGAAGCACAGGTGCAGCGCAGGCAGATGCATCCAGGAAGAAGGGCCGATGCACAGCCGGAACCTGCACATGCAGTTCCATGGCGACATGCAGACGCAGTCAGACATGTCCACGATGCAACCTGCAGAACGCAATGCCTTGAGCGAGACACCAACAGCCACCACGATGTGGATGGTGGGGGGCAGTTGCCTCAAGCCAGGAGCGCCGCCTGCGCCCCAAGGAAGTGCGAAGCTCTGCGTCCCGCTTCGACAGATACGTCACCGGGTATTTGCGGACCGCCAGCCTTGGGCTTCGCTCGAGGCACCGAACAGGAATCGGGTGCCCTTGAACTGAAGCTTCAGTCCAGTGACGGAGAAGACTCAGATCACAAGCCCTTGCACAGACATTTGAAGCTCTCTCTTCGGAGGCATCTCCAACAAGGGGTCCATGCGGAAGCAGTCCGGCACAACAGCGAGCCAGACTTGCATCTTGCCACGAGCAAGGAACATACCAGCCATGCTGCGGCGGAAGCTGATGCAGCAGGTAAGGCTGCCGAGACTAATTTTGGAGCGGCTACCAGATCCCAAGCCGAAGCGATCGACTTGGATGTTCTTGCCCGCCCAAAGACCAGCAACCGGCAACCCCAGACATCACTGCCTTGCAATGCGAGCAATTTGACTCGAGTGGATGTATTGTACCAAGAGAATCCTGTTCAGCAGCAAAGGTGCGCACCTGCCCAGCGCAGGCAGATGCATCCAGGAAGAAGGGCCGATGCACAGCCGGAACCTGCACATGTAGTTCCATGGCGACATGCAGACGCAGTCAGACATGTCCACGATGCAACCTGCAGAACGCAATGCCTTGAGCGAGACACCAACAGCCACCACGATGTGGATGGTGGGGGGCAGTTGCCTCAAGCCAGGAGCGCCACCTGCGCCCCAAGGAAGTGCGAAGCTCTGCGTCCCGCTTCGACAGATACATCACCCGAAATGTCCGAAAGGTTAGAACGGCAATGGGTTCACGCAGAATACACAGAAGTGCAAGCCTGGCAAGACTCGAAGGCTGCATCAACACAACCACTACAGCCACTACCGTCACAAGCAGCCGGGCAAAAAGAACTCCCAGGCAGCTTTGCAATCAGTCAAGGCGGGATTGGCAGCGGCCGCCTTGACTGTGCCGTGCCTGCGGCTCGTGCTGCACCCTTTCAACCCCCTGAAAGTCGTTGTACTCACATTGCACTGCGACCGGCCGGCATGTTGAGATGCCGGCTTGACCAACTTGAGGCACCGGAGAGTTCACTGGACCGGGCTTCCGTTTCTCCTGCGCAGGATGTGCCCTTGAAGCACGAGCACATGCCTCCAGAGATTCAACCAGGCCAGACAGGTTCGCAGAGAGCGCTTGAAGGTTCGCAGATTGCTCCGGTATGCTTGCCTGAGTCATGTGACGATGTCAGGTCCAGGTCCAGCTGTTTCCATGTTACAACACACCCGCTGTTGGGAGCACAGCTGGAGCAAAACCATGCGCATGTGCGAACTGTGCAGGCAGCCGAAAACACAGAAAACGTTCGGCCCATTCGGCTCTCACAGGTTGTCGGCAATGCAGGCTTCGAGTCTATCACGCCAGCTCACACGGTACTACACGGGGCCGCACGAGCGACGGGGGCATCTGTAGTATGTGCAGCTACTGGATCAACCGCAGCAACTGCAGCCTGCACGCAAATTGTGCCAGACTGGACGTCTACACTCGCGGAGGGTTCGCAGGATTCTGAATCCACACCGACGCCAGCGAATGTCGGCTGCCAGTCGGCACGGGGATCGTGCAGAGGCGTGCAGTGCGTGCAGGACCTTTTGGATGATGTAAGGTCCAGCTCGTTTCGTGTTCCACCGACATCTTTGACAGGGCTACCAAAGCCATCGCATCCATCGCGCACAGTGCCGGGGCATGCCTTCGAAGACAACTGCGGCCCGAAGTCCGCAGATGGTGCTCCGTTTCCTCCACAGACTGCAAACGCAAACGATGCCCATGCAACCCTTAGAACATGCACAGAACCCATTTCTCCGGTGGAGGTAGCCGACCACGTAGCGCAACTCACGCATCAGATGGCAGATGCTGCGGAGGTGTTCTCGCCTTCCTCGCTTTCCCGCATCCCTAAACCCATACAGCCGGCCTTAAGTATACCTCAGCCAGAAATCGCTGTTAGTGGGGCGCCTCTGTCTGGACTTGGTCTGGAATTTGCCTGCCAAGCAGCAAGTCCTTCGCGCGAGGTTCTTGAGCCGGCACGCGTGGATGACAAGAACGCCCTTGGACCGGCAGTGGCCATAGCACATCCAAGCGGTGCTTCCCGTCCACGAGCAGCTGCTCCGGCAACTTCCTGGGTGCCCATGCAGCGACACGAAACCGAGCCTGATGCAGCCGGGATGCTGGAAAGTGAGCCGGTTGTGACTATCGAGTCGATCGAGCAGTCGCCGCCGTCTGGACATCTGCAGCCAGGTCGTCCAATTGAAGATGTGACGCCAATCTCACTTCGGCCCTGGCCAATGCAGGCAGAGTCGCACCCAGGGAGCACCGATGCATCTGCCCACGCTGAAGGAGGTAAGTCTCGAACGCATGACAAGACATTCTCAGGTTCGCCGCCTGGGTTCCAGAACGTGCCTGACTGCATCAAAGAGATTGGAGCATCAGCCACGCTTGAGCCGCTTGAGCCGCTTGAGACCTTCCCCGTTAGACTTTTCAGCACGGCAAAATGTACAGAGGAGCCTTTGGGCGCAGAAGCTTCTGCATTCAGACCGCGTCAGGCGGCCACTGATGAAACCATGCCGCCGCATCCATGTGTCTCCCACCAAATCGATTCCTTGAGAGAGCCACGGGAAGGGTGCAGCAAATTGCGAGCCAGTACGTCACAGGGCGCCGCAAGCTCGGATTTGGCAGTCGGGCAAGTAGATGCCGCAGACACAACGAGCCAAGCACAGCAAGAGAGCACCAGCCACCTGGAATCGGGCACTTGTGACAACGGTGCAGGCAGTGGGCCAAATCCATCACATGCACAGCTGGGCGCATGTGCCACAGGAGGCACGCCAATTCCAATCTCACTGCCCCAGCTCGATGGCAGTGCGAATCTGGACCTGTCAGGTCGTGCACTGTTGTTGCCGATTCACCCTTCTGAGCCGCGCCCAAGCGAAATCAACAGCGGACTGCTAGGGAGCAATGCAGAAGTTGCCCAACTTGGCATCTCAGACCACGACCATGAGATGCAAAGCACAGGCTCCAGGCAGCCCAGGGCACAGCAGATGGTGGTTTCCCAAGCTAGGCTGCTGGAGACAGGCGTGCATCCAGCACAGGGTGCCGCAAGCTCGGATTTGGGATCATGGCCAGTCGGGCAAGTAGATGCCGCAGACACAACGAGCCAAGCACACCAAGAAAGCACTAGCCACCTGGAATCGGGCACTTGTGACAACGGCGCAGGCAGTGGGCCAAATCCATCACATGCACAGCTGGGCGCATGTGCCACAGGAGGCACGCCAATTCCAATCTCACTGCCCCAGCTCGATGGCAGTGCGAATCTGGACCTGTCAGGTCGTGCACTGTTGTTGCCGATTCACCCTTCTGAGCCGCGCCCAAGCGAAATCAACAGCGGACTGCTAGGGAGCAATGCAGAAGTTGCCCAACTTGGCATCTCAGACCACGACCATGAGATGCAAAGCACAGGCTCCAGGCAGCCCAGGGCACAGCAGATGGTGGTTTCCCAAGCTAGGCTGCTGGAGACAGGCGTGCATCCAGCACAGGGCGCCGCAAGCTCGGATTTGGGATCATGGCCAGTCGGGCAAGTAGATGCCGCAGACACGACGAGCCAAGCACACCAAGAAAGCACTAGCCACCTGGAATCGGGCACTTGTGACAGCGGCGCAGGCAGTGGGCCAAATCCATCACGTGCACAGCTGGGCGCATGTGCCACAGGAGGCACGCCAATTCCAATCTCACTGCCCCAGCTCGATGGCAGTGCGAATCTGGACCTGTCAGGTCGTGCACTGTTGTTGCCGATTCACCCTTCTGAGCCGCGCCCAAGCGAAATCAACAGCGGACTGCTAGGGAGCAATGCAGAAGTTGCCCAACTTGGCATCTCAGACCACGACCATGAGATGCAAAGCACAGGCTCCAGGCAGCCCAGGGCACAGCAGATGGTGGTTTCCCAAGCTAGGCTGCTGGAGACAGGCGTGCATCCAGCACAGGGTGCCGCAAGCTCGGATTTGGGATCATGGCCAGTCGGGCAAGTAGATGCCGCAGACACAACGAGCCAAGCACACCAAGAAAGCACTAGCCACCTGGAATCGGGCACTTGTGACAACGGCGCAGGCAGTGGGCCAAATCCATCACATGCACAGCTGGGCGCATGTGCCACAGGAGGCACGCCAATTCCAATCTCACTGCCCCAGCTCGATGGCAGTGCGAATCTGGACCTGTCAGGTCGTGCACTGTTGTTGCCGATTCACCCTTCTGAGCCGCGCCCAAGCGAAATCAACAGCGGACTTCTAGGGAGCAATGCAGAAGTTGCCCAACTTGGCATCTCAGACCACGACCATGAGATGCAAAGCACAGGCTCCAGGCAGCCCAGGGCACAGCAGATGGTGGTTTCCCTTGCTCGGCTGCTGGAGACAGGCGTGCATCCAGCACAGGGCGCCGCAAGCTCGGATTTGGGATCATGGCCAGTCGGGCAAGTAGATGCCGCAGACACAACGAGCCGAGCACACCAAGAAAGCACTAGCCACCTGGAATCGGGCACTTGTGACAACGGCGCAGGCAGTGGGCCAAATCCATCACATGCACAGCTGGGCGCATGTGCCACAGGAGGCACGCCAATTCCAATCTCAATGCCCCAGCTCGATGGCAGTGCTAATCTGGACCTGTCAGGTCGTGCACTGTTGTTGCCGATTCACCCTTCTGAGCCGCGCCCAAGCGAAATCAACAGCGGACTGCCAGGGAGCAATGCAGAAGTTGCCCAACTTGGCATCTCAGACCACGACCATGAGATGCAAAGCACAGGCTCCAGGCAGCCCAGGGTACAGCAGATGGTGGTTTCCCAAGCTAGGCTGCTGGAGACAGGCGGGCATGAAACAGAGAAATCCGGTGATTCCGTGCATGATGTTGCGTCAGGTTCAGTCCACCTCGCCAGTCCAGGAGCATTGCCACAGGAGCAAGCCACAGATTCACAGCTGACAAGGTCCAGCCATCAGGACTCCGGCGGTTGCGGGCCAGGCATGCCTGGCGCAGCGGTCGCACATGTCGACGTGCCATTGGTGCCGGCAGTCGCTCGGCGCAGCAGCGAGGAACATCCGATGTTGCCGGCTCATGCGCGTCCACTTGACCTGGTTGAAGAGTCTTCGAGCGAATTCACCAGCACCCCTCAGGGGAGCACTGCAGCAGTTTCCCCGCTTGGCAACTCCGAGCATTGTATGAATGGCACGCGCTCCAGAAAGCCCAAAGAAGAGCAGATGCGTGGGCTAGCTGTGCATCCAAGAGCGGTTTCGCAAGCTGTGCCGCCAGAGACAGGCAGGCATCCAGCAGCGAAATCCATGGATTCCGTGCATGATGTTGCATCAGGGTCTGTCCACTTCGCCAGTCCAGCAGCACTGCCACAGGAGAAAGCCACGGATTCACAGCTGACAAGGTCCAGCCATCAGGACTCCGGCGGTTGCGGGCCAGGCATGCCTGGCGCAGCGGTCGCACATGTCGACGTGCCATTGGTGCCGGCAGTCGCTCGGCGCAGCAGCGAGGAACATCCGATGTTGCCGGCTCATGCGCTTCTACCACTTGACCTGGTTGAAGAGTCTTCGAGCGAATTCACCAGCACCCCTCAGGGGAGCACTGCAGCAGTTTCCCCGCTTGGCAACTCCGAGCATTGTATGAATGGCACGCGCTCCAGAAAGCCCAAAGAAGAGCAGATGCGTGGGCTAGCTGTGCATCCAAGAGCGGTTTCGCAAGCTGTGCCGCCAGAGACAGGCAGGCATCCAGCAGCGAAATCCATGGATTCCGTGCATGATGTTGCGTCAGGTTCAGTCCACTTCGCCAGTCCAGGAGCACTGCCACACGAGAGGTCCAGCCACCAGGACTCCGGCGGTTGCGCGCCAGGCATGCCTGGCGCAGCGCACGCACATGTCGACGTGCCATTGGTGCCGGCAGTCGCTCGGCGCAGCAGCAACGAACATCCGATGTTGCCGGCTCATGCGCTTCTACCACTTGACATGGTTGAAGAGTCTTCGAGCGAATTCACCAGCACCCCTCAGGGGAGCACTGCAGCAGTTTCCCCGCTTGGCAACTCCGAGCATTGTATGAATGGCACGCGCTCCAGAAAGCCCAAAGAAGAGCAGATGCGTGGGCTAGCTGTGCATCCAAGAGCGGTTTCGCAAGCTGTGCCGCCAGAGACAGGCAGGCATCCAGCAGCGAAATCCATGGATTCCGTGCATGATGTTGCATCAGGTTCGGCCCACTTCGCCAGTCCAGCAGCACTGCCACAGGAGAAAGCCACGGATTCACAGCTAACAAGGTCCAGCCATCAGGACTCCGGCGGTTGCGGGCCAGGCATGCCTGGCGCAGCGGTCGCACATGTCGACGTGCCATTGGTGCCGGCAGTCGCTCGGCGCAGCAGCGAGGAACATCCGATGTTGCCGGCTCATGCGCTTCTACCACTTGACCTGGTTGAAGAGTCTTCGAGCGAATTCACCAGCACCCCTCAGGGGAGCACTGCAGCAGTTTCCCCGCTTGGCAACTCCGAGCATTGTATGAATGGCACGCGCTCCAGAAAGCCCAAAGAAGAGCAGATGCGTGGGCTAGCTGTGCATCCAAGAGCGGTTTCGCAAGCTGTGCCGCCAGAGACAGGCAGGCATCCAGCAGCGATATCCATGGATTCCGTGCATGATGTTGCATCAGGGTCTGTCCACTTCGCCAGTCCAGCAGCACTGCCACAGGAGAAAGCCACGGATTCACAGCTGACAAGGTCCAGCCATCAGGACTCCGGCGGTTGCGGGCCAGGCATGCCTGGCGCAGCGGTCGCACATGTCGACGTGCCATTGGTGCCGGCAGTCGCTCGGCGCAGCAGCGAGGAACATCCGATGTTGCCGGCTCATGCGCTTCTACCACTTGACCTGGTTGAAGAGTCTTCGAGCGAATTCACCAGCACCCCTCAGGGGAGCACTGCAGCAGTTTCCCCGCTTGGCAACTCCGAGCATTGTATGAATGGCACGCGCTCCAGAAAGCCCAAAGAAGAGCAGATGCGTGGGCTAGCTGTGCATCCAAGAGCGGTTTCGCAAGCTGTGCCGCCAGAGACAGGCAGGCATCCAGCAGCGAAATCCATGGATTCCGTGCATGATGTTGCGTCAGGTTCAGTCCACTTCGCCAGTCCAGGAGCACTGCCACACGAGAGGTCCAGCCACCAGGACTCTGGCGGTTGCGGGCCAGGCATGCCTGGCGCAGCGCACGCACATGTCGACGTGCCATTGGTGCCGGCAGTCGCTCGGCGAAGCAGCAACGAACATCCGATGTTGCCGGCTCATGCGCTTCTACCACTTGACCTGGCTGAAGAGTCTTCGAGCGAATTCACCAGCACCCCTCAGGGGAGCACAGCAGCAGTTTCCCCGCTTGGCAGCTCCGAGCATTGTATGAATGGCATGCGCTCCAGAAAGCCCAAAGAAGAGCAGATGCGTGGGCTAGCTGTGCATCCCAAAGCGGGGGATTCGCAAGCTTTTGCGGAAGATGGACGTTTCGGCATCTCAGAGCAGCCCTTGCGTAAGCCCAGACAACTGCAGAGGAGTTGGTCAGACATACCTGCAAAAGTAGCCGAAGCTTCTCAAGCGATTCCTCTGCATTCAGCTGGGACGTCCAACAATATTGTTCATTGTCTTGCTTCAGCTTCGGTCCGTCCCACAAGTCCCTGTTTCTCGGGGACGCTGCCACGGCAGACAGAAGCAGCAGAAGCAATTGCCGGCCAAGGTCTGGCACAGCAAAGAAGATTCCACCGCCAAGGGTCAGGAATTGTTCTCAGCGATGCAGGTGGTGAGCTAAACGCAATGCATGCTTTCGATGGACATGGTGCAGCCCAGCTCGTCGGCCATGCCGATGCGGGTCCATCAGCTCATGTACTTCCTCTTTACCGTTCTGAACGACTTGCCAGCAGAACATCCAGTGTTGGCGGCGTGGAAGACGCACATTTTGTCAGTTCAGAGCAGCCCTTGCGTGCAGCAAGCTTCCAGAAGCCCAGACAACAGCTGCAGAGAAGTTGGTCAGACATACCTGCAAAAGTAGCCGCAGCTTCTGAAGCGATTCCTGTGCATTCAGCTGGGATCTCGGGGACGCAGCCGTTGCAGGCAGCAGACGCAACAGCCGGCCAAAGAAGCTTCCACTGCCAAGGGTCAGGAATGGTGTTCAGCGATGCAGGCGGTGAGCCAAGCACAATGCATGCTTTGGAAGGATATGATGCAGCCCAGTTCGTCGGCAATGCCGATGCAGGTCCATCAGCTCATGTACTTCCGCTTCACCGATCTGGGCTACTTAGACAACAACTGCAGAGGAGTTGGTCAGACATACCTGCAAGAGTAGCCGAAGCTTCTCAAGCGATTCCTGTGCATTCAGCTGAGACATCCAGCCATCATGTTCGTTATCTTGCTTCAGCTTCGGTCCGTCCCACAAGTCCCTGTTTCTCGGGGACGCCGCCGCTGCAGACAGAAGCAGCAGAAGCAATTGCCGGCCAAGGTCTGGCACAGCAAAGAAGATTCCACCGCCAAGGGTCAGGACCTGTAGACACTGGGCCAATCACGACACATGCGCTTTTGGAAGGAGTTGATGCAGGATGCATCCAAGACTTCAGTGGCAACATGGAGCCGGCCGTGCACACCTCTCGACCACGCTCAAGCAGCAGGACCACAACACCATCGGGAAGCGCAAATGCTCAATCCTGCAAATTTGCAGAGCCTTCTGACGAGATGCATCTGCAACCACCCCCACCGGGCGGCCGTGAGACTTCTTTGCATGGTATGCATGGTCAAGGTAGCCAGAATGGTCTTGCATCGCCAGAACTCTGCATCTCATTTGGTGATGCCGGGCCCGAGTGGTCTGGATCCGAGCGAGACCACATAGACCACTCGAGCCTTTCAAGATCGTTTGTGCGGCATGCTGCCTCGGGGAATGCCAGATTTGTCACAAACACAGCTCTCGAAAGGACCGGAAGTCTGAGTTCGGTGACAGCAAGCGAGGCTGAATTTCGGAATGAGGCGCTTCCTTACCAAGCTGTCGTCACCGGCACAGTCAAGAGCTTCACAAAACAGGCCTGCAGCTAGAGCAGCTAGAGTGATGTGAAACTTGGTTGTTTTACTCTTATAATGTTCCTTTGTGATTTAACGATGCCGCATGCAGCACGAAGTTTGCATGCTTACCTTCAGTTCTAGGGCATGCTCTATCATTTTTGCCACTGTTTTCTTCGGAGCCTACTACACGTTCGCCAGGCAGATGCCGAAGGGAAAGAGGCATTGCGTGATCTCGGCATGAGCTTACACGCTGGGTCTGGGCTGGGTGGTTGCTCTGATGCCTGCACCGCCTGGATGTCGAAAGCCAGGCCGCCAACATCCACACACCTCTGTGAGCCCATGCAGCTCGAGGAGTCCAACTAGACCAGAGACACTTGGAGCCGTTAAGGTACTGTCAAGGTTTGCTTGAGCACTGTCGCATTCCGCCTTGTTGCTTGTTGTATCAGTTGTTACGTCAGTTGAGAAAACTTGAGCATCTGCAAATTCTGGACGTGACTTCTTGAGGAAGGGCCAAGGCTGCCAAGGCGTCGGCACACAGGCCATGGCCATTTGCCTTGAAGCTGCTGTTTAACTAAGTCGAGTCATATTACCCAATATAGCACGGCTGATCTTTAGCTGTTTCGGTTTGTTTGGGTTTGCGTTTGTTGCTTGCGGGCTCAGGGTTTCAGCTCAAACGGGTGCCGCCAGGCATGTGGCAGCTTGCAGACAGGGGCCTGTGAGGTTATTGATTTAGAGTTTTCGTCGGTGCCGTTAAGTAATGTGTGCCAAGCGGGGTTTCCGCAGACATGCTATGGCAGGAGCAGAAGCCACCTCCTGATGCCAGCAAGGAAGTGTCGAATGCGGGCAAGGACTGCCTTGCATCCCACGACAAGCTTTAGCAACCTTTCGCAACTCAGAGATGGGAATCGTTGCTATATCGTTGCTTCTGTGTTGACGGGGACTTGGCTCTGGAAGCCTGAAGGCCCCAGCCTGGCAATGATTGTCGCTTCATGGGCTCAGCCTTCCAGAGTAATGTTATCGTACTTTCGAAAATGGCTTCTGCTACCTTTTTTTTGGGGATGGGGAGGGGGGGGAGGGGGACCGGGGGGGGGGTAGGGTGGCAATCGTTTCTCGGATGGCTTTGATTAGGAAACCCTGTTCCACGGGTGTAGCAGCTCATTTGCAAAAGATAATGCTCATTTGACGGGTTGTCCAAAGCAGTTGCATACTTGTTTAAGCAATTCCTCTTCACAGCCTGCACCCCAGTATGCCAGTAAACTGAAACCGCGAGCGATAATAGAAAAGTTGGCTATACGGCTTATATTCAATGTTGATGTTCGGCATTGTGTTTATCTGTTGTTTCTGTTTGTATGGGCATGTATTCTGTTTGTATGGGCATTTATTTCCCTGTGATTGAAAACAGCGCTTTGCACTTTATGTGGGTTTTAACACCTCCAATGTTTCTGTTCTGTCAGAGCGTTTAATTTATGAAAAAAACGTGATTTGGGAGGGGTCGCTCATTTGCAAACACAGGGCTGGTATAGCTAAGACTATGCTAAGACTACATAAGACATTCGCATGTCATTCGAAGGAACTCCCTGATGGCACGATGTGCTTTAAAGCAAACTTGCGCGACCCTAACAAAAAACAAGCAGCTACCGCATTTTCAAAAGAAGTGCTCACATGATGAGTTTGGAAAGGATTCGCTTGAGTGTTGAAGGAATGCCCATTGATGGCGTGGCATTCTCCGTAGCAAGTTTTGCACTGTTGAAAAGATCCGGGGGAGTGGGGGGGGGGGGGGGGGGGGGCGCGGCCCCTCCGTTTGCAGCTTGCAGAAGGACCGATACAAAATTGCACAACTGGGGCGGACCACGGCGATCGATGGAAGTGTTCGTCCAAACCTGGATCCAACTTTGCACCCTAGCTTTTAAACATGTTCGCCCCGATGCAGACGGGTCGAAACGAAACTTGCGCTTTAGATGCTTGTTAGAATGTTCAAGGAGTTTTTGAACCATCAGAACCAGGACAAACTCAAGGACAATGAGCCGGCAAGTCCGAAGACGCAGCCGTCGGAGGCAGCGACCTTGGTCCTGTTGTCGCCATAAGTCATACCTAGGGCTGAGGTCCCATGGCTGCATAGGCAACACTAAAGCAACTGTGGCTTACGAAGTGGGATTTCTTCTGAGAGCTGCCTTCTTCTTCTTCGTCTTCTTCTTCGTCTTCTGCAGGGCTTGAGGAGTCCCGGGGGACCCCTCGCGCGAGAGAGCGCGCCAGAGCCAGTCCTTTCGTGAATCTTAAACGCCCAGCTTGAAACGTGCCCCCTTTCAACCATAAAGAATCCGCACCAAGTCATGGCCTGGCCCATATTTCGCCCCGGGGTCTTTAGTGAGGGATCCTGTGACCCCGGCTCGGATTTCCGAGTGTGAAAATGTCGACTTCACTTTGTTCTTGACGTTGCTGTACATTGCCAACGCTCACAGATGAACTCTCTCGGGTCAGATGTTGATCTCACGACAAGGACGGCGATCCCCGGGTGCCCCGTCATCGTAACTGTCATTAACTGTCGGCGAGACCGAGAACACACATTCATACGCTGGCTCAACTGAGCCCAACCTTGCTCAAGAAGAAGAAGAAGAAGAGGAGAAGAAGAAAAAGAAGAGAAGAAGAAGAAGAAGAAGAAGAAGAAGAAGAAGAAGAGCGACGCGACCAGGGGACCCCACACATAGTGAGGGGCAACACAGCTGCAGTGGCACGGACCCGATGCCCGGCCACCAGCAGCACCCCGGGGAACAATAAGCGAAAAGGGGCCCACCACCAAAGCAGAGCAAGCGGTGAGGCTGGTCATGAGCCTGGCCAGCGGCGGGAAGCGCTGAGGGGACGAACGGATACATGGCGGGGCCCTACCCCCCCCCACCCCCCCATGGTATCCCCCCCTCCACCTAAACCTTAAACCCTTACCCCCTAACCCCCCAACCACACACACACACCACAGGGGGGGGGTGGGGGGGGTGGGGCGGACCTTCAACCCCAAACCCCCCCCAACCACGCCCACACCACAGAGGGGAGGGGGGGCGCGGGGGTATTAAACCTTAAACCCTAACCCCCCAACCACACCCACACCACAGCAAAGGGGTCATTAAACCTCAAACCCTGAAGCCCCAACCACACCCACACCACAGGGGGGGCGCGGGGGTATTAAACCTTAAACCCTGAAGCCCCAACCACACCCACACCACAGGGGGGGACGCGGGGGTATTAAACCTTAAACCCTAACCCCCCAACCACCCACACCACAGGAGGGGCGCGGGGTTATTAAACCTTAAACCCTGAACCCACAACCCTAACCCTTAAACTTAAACCCTAACCCCGGGGATGGGGGTAGGGATACAAGGGAAGGGGGGGGGGGGATACCATGGGGGTGGGGGGTGGGCGTGGCAGCCCTGGACCATACATAGGCACCATCCTGGGCTGCGTGCGGCAGCTGCGCAGAGCACTAAACCAAGTACTTGGGAGCTGCATGGCCTAGCTGAGGCTAGATCGGCAATGAGGGAGCTACCCAAACCACCCTCTGCAGCAAACCACCTAAGAGGGGGGCAAAATCACCTGGAGGCGTGCCTTGGGGGCGAGGATGGGCGAGGCCTGCATCCTCGAGTCACAACCACCCCCACCCACGCAGCAAGTGCACCCGGCAGATCTGCCGGGGCCTTGTCCAATTCGTGGAGGGGGGAGTCCGGCAACGACTGGTGGTGGCGAGCTCTGGGAGGAAAGAACTCATTGCGGTTGACGACACACAAGAGAGAGGTGGAGAGGTTGCGGACACGAGTGGGGCAGGGCTGCCAGCCGACGCCGCGCTACAGGGAGAAGTATGAGAAGTACGCGATCCCGCCTACCTTGCCAGGGAAAAGTTCTGGTACACGAACGTGATACTGGCAAGGCATGGCAAGGCCGAGATGGACCAACCAATTAAAAAGAAGGGAGCAAGCAGAGGGGGGGGAAACCCACCAAAAAGCAGCAGACACCCCAGAAACACAACCGGGGCAAGAAGGACAAGAGGGGACCGGGCGAGGGACAGGAGGAGGTCCAAACAGCGACAAAGGCAGTGATGGGGGCAACGTACGAGAAGGTCGAGAAGTGGTAACTACGGCGGCACCCTCGCTTGCAGCCGCCCTACCCCGCACTGAGCGATGCAGAGCACCGGCGGAAATGTGCACACGCAGGGCTGTCGCAAGCAAGCAGGGGGCTAACGTAACCTGTTGGGGTCCGCCTAATCGTTTTGGGGCCGCATGTCGTGATTTGGGGGACACAGATTCACAGCCTGAAAAGGACCACAGCTCAGAGAAAGCAATGAAAGCAATAGGTTAAGGGGTAGAGTGTTTCAAGGGGCCGTAGGCATAGTAGGCTGATAGGGTTCATAGTTCTGAGTGTGTCCCTCTACGGCGTATGGGCCCCAACGCGACCCACAGGACTTATATAGGCCCCCAAGGGACCTCAGGCTCTATGGGGTACGGTCATCAATCAACAAAGGCCTCAGGGTACGATGCTTTCACCAAGATTGCCGACAGCCTTCGCCGCTTACAGCATATTCCGTGGCATGACGCTAATGTTTCGAGGCATGGTGGCCCAGTGTACGTTAACGGGCCCCTACGAGCCAAACCCGGCGGGCGCAACTTCAGTCTCACATGCGTGCAGGAAGGAAGGAAGACCGAGAGAGAGAAAGAGAGATGTATTGGGCGGTTGAGGGTATAGTATGGATGGCGTGGTAGGAATCTAACGGATAGGATGCTTAAAGGGGCCGCGAGGGGGGCCGCTAAGGGGATGATACTTAAGGAGCCCGCCCTCATGCGGGAACACGTGGTGGTCGCACGGGGCCGAATACCGGCTCCTCTCGGGTGGGACTCAGAATGGACTCAGACCGTACAGATGGGGGGCGCGCGCCGGCGCGGAGCCCTGCTCCATGCCCCAAAGAAAGAAAGAAATATAATCAGAGAGCAATAGACAAAGACACCGTGAGAGAGACAAAGATAACGCATGTCTGCACTCGGCTTCGTGTCCTC